GATGATTCAACTTAGTAGTTTTGACTTTACAGTGGTGAGAAAGCCACATGCATTCTGTAGAAGCCATACTTGGAGTTTTGAATTTTCATCTTTTCCAGGCTAGTAACATGGCATGTGATACTGTCTGGTGAAGCTGTGCAAGCTGAGCTCCCCTCACCACAGGATAAAACAACGAAAACACTTAGAAGCATTCTGTACCCACACAACCATTCTGCTCTTCACTTTCAGCACAGTACTCAGTAAATTACAAGATTCTCTACCCTTTAGTGTAAAATAGACAGTGTGTTAGATGATTTTCCCCTGTAGCTGTAGGCTAATGTAAATGTTGAGCACATTTAAGCTAAGCTAGGCTCAGCTACGATGTTTGGTAAGATAGATGTATGAAACACATTTTTGACTTATTACACTATTTTCAAATTATGATGGCTTATTGGGACCTAACTCCACGGGAATTGTGGAAGATCTATAAATATTATGTCATTGGATGGATGTACTGTAGCTTATTTATCCGTTCACCCAATGAAGAACATTTAGGTGGTTTCGAGGTTTTGGCCATCACAAACAGAACCACCATGAATATTCATGTACAGATCTTTGTGTGACATAAGATTTTCATTTCTTAAGCATAAATGCCCATAAATGTGGATTGATGGATCATAAAGTAAGTGAATGTTTAGCTTTATGTGAAACTGCTGCATTGTTTTCCAGAATGACTGGACCACTCACCCACCAGCAATGTATGAGTGATTCAGTTTCTCTGCATTCATGCCAAAACTTGATACTGTCAGTATTCTTATGTTAGACATTCTGATGGATGTGGGGTGGTATCTCATTGTGGCCTTAAGTTGCATTTCCCTCATGGCTAATGATGTTGAACATCTCTTCATGTGCTTATTTACATGCTTTTTTCCCTACCACATTGCCTCTTTGGTAAAGTGTCTGTGTGAGTTTTTGTCCATTTTTTGATTGGATTTTTCTATTATTTTTTTTTCTGGAAGATTTATAGTTTCACATTTTATAGTTGTTTGTATGATCCATTTTGGGACTGTCCTCTACTTTGTGTAAGGTGTGAGGTTTAGGCAAAGGTTGAATTATTTGCCTTGAACATCTAATGGTCGCAACATCACTTGCTCATCCAACTACCCTTCCTCCATTGAACTGTCTTTTCATCTTTGTGAAAAAAATCAGGTTTCCCCACACGTGTGGGTCTACATCTGTACTCTTATTTGGTGGCATAAACTTCATAATGATATTCTTTTACTAAGCTTTTAATGTAGAATATGTAGTATGTTTTTCTGTTTCATTCATTATATTTATAATTTGCATTTTTCTCCTTGTTCTTTTCTTAATTCTATCTAGAAACCTGTCAACTTGATTAATCATTTTAAGAAAGTTAATGTTGTATTTTATGGATTTTTTATTGTTTGCTAATATTTCATCAATTTGACTTGTAAAAATTATTTCCTTCTGTTAGCTAATGTGTTAATTAATTCTTTCTATTTTTCTATGTTCTGTTGTTTAAGACCTAGATAATAGCTTATCAACCTTTCTTCTTTAGTAATATAAACATTTTAAAAGATAAATTTCCATCAATGTACTATTTTACCTGCTTCTCACTCTTATTTTTATATATTTGTTCTCACTAAGTTTTTTTTCTGAATATTTTCTGATAGTCTTTCTAATTGCTTCTTTAACCTACTAGTTAAAGCTTAGTGCATAAATTCCAATATTTGGGTATTTCTGGAGACATCTATTTACAGTTGATTTACTTTATCAATTCAGTTTTAGTCAAAGAATAAATCCTGTATAATTTCAGGTTTTTTATGCATTAAGACTTATATATGACCAAATGGATTATGTGTGTGTATGTTTGTGAACATTTTGTCTACACAGCAGGGTTTCATGGAGCCCCAGCTGCAGGTTTGGGTACAGGCTGCAGGTGCCTGGGGAGCTCTGTGCACTTGCTGCACAGAAGTAGGTGGCTGAGTCTCCAGGCTGGGAGTCCTTGATGTGCAATGAGAAGAGTTTGGCACTTCCATTGGAGGAAACCGTGAATCTTCCATTTTCCTTTTTATTTCCAACCAAACTTTTGGCTATCAAGAATTCAGGGCCTTGACCAGGGTATTGACGGTACCATGGGAAGTAGTCAAATGCATCATTCTCATAAGTACAGTTCAGAACTGAAATCGCTCCTTCGTGGACTACCAGGGGTTGAGGGCTCTGTTTCACCTGCTGTTGCTCACTTTTTACATTCTGTTGTCCACTCACCCCTGATCAAGAAAAAAAATTCACTAGGTCTGCAATTTTATATTTCATTCTATAAATTACTACCAGCATGATTCTGTCTGTACCCCAATCTTTCATTCCCCCAAATTAAACTTATCCTAGGGTTTCTCCTCCATAACTCACAGCCTGGTTGAAGCCACAGAATTAAGAATGATGCTCCCAGAATCCTGTCCATTGTTCCTGGCACCAAAGCTCAGTGACAGCTGGTCTTCTCAGCCCGCGAGGAAGCTGACTGTAAGCTCACAGCTGCTGTAATTCTCTCAAGAGGCCCCACCCTCTCACAAGTACTTTCACTGAAAGCTATTTTCTCAAAGCAAGCACTTCCGCTTTTTGCCCTAACTTAAAATTGCTGAAAATTTCATTGAAAACCAGAAATCCCCTATTTACACATGAAACATGATCAGTTACAAATTATCTCCCTCTATCCTGTTCTTCCTTCTCCTCACACTTCCTAGAATGTTAAATGTCACATACAAGTGCACCTTGATGTGTCAATAGGGATGATATGATTTTACAATAGGGAAGACAGGGACTCCCATGGAGTCCCAGGATTAGTACAGAGAAGGGCATTTCTTTCTTATTATAAAAATAATTAAAGTTTATTGAGGATACATAAGGGACATAATATACCATTACAAGCAAAAGTCATGGATCAGAACAGAAAGAATAGATAGCCCTTTTGCCCTCATGGAACTTAAATTTTAATATAATTTTTCAGGTGTATCCACATTTTACATGACCCTAAGAAATGATAGAAAATAATCAAATCAATTTTAATTTCTTTGTATTTCTTCTAAAATATAAACCAGGCCAATGAAATATTTCTAGGAATACACATGGGGACTATAAATTGAGAAGTACTGGAATTATCTGGTCTGGAGGACTTTCAATCTCCAAACACATAAGAGAGGCTAGAAAAATTCTGTAGACTTTAGAAGATCTGGCCACAACCATTCAGTAATGTGACATTTTTTGGTAGTTCTCATCATGGGTTTGATCAAACATTTACTATTTTATCCAACCTTTATCCTCATAGGTAGAATACAAAAATACAAAAAAATCCATTTGGTTTTTGATGCTAACACAGCAGGATGTAAAGACAGAAATTAAGGATAAATT